GCGGGACTAAATACCATCTCATGCTTTTAACTGATCAAATGCTTACACAAAAGGATGCAAGACACTCCCTCCAATGATGATTAAATGATGATGATGATGATGGAAGGTTGAGACGTCACACGTGTATGAAGATCATAACAGAAACCAAAAGATGTTTTGTTATTACATTAAAAATATTTTGGCATGGAAACCACTCATTGTCGGAATATGAATGAAAAAATTTAAGTAGTATTCCAAAACCACCATTTTTGAGACTTATTTACTTGCCAGCCAAGAAAGAGAAAAAATACATATAAACTGTAATCTACATCATTTGTCCCTTTAGTATGCCTTATGTTTGGGTCTGACAGCAGTTTGTCATCCAATAAACCTATTGGAGCATAATTTGATATTGGTTGATAATTTTGCAATAAGTAATAGTGATGATGAAATCCTATCAGAAGAATAAATCTATGTTCGTTGCTAACTGTACAATAAAATAGCAGTGAGACGAAATCCAATCTAAAGAAGTGGAATCTTGTCCAACATTGGATTCAAATGTGATTTCATCTGGTATTGTTATCACTTTGGATATGCAATATCTAAAGCTTCCCTTTTCAACACACATAATTGGATTAAATCTGCATGTTTTATTAGATGTGATCTATAGCCATTTGTGCATGAGTGGTCTTGCACAAAAGTCTGTTCTTGGCAAGGGGGACAAATTTAGCAAGAGAAATTGTTTTTAGACCCAAAATAAGGGACAAATTCAGCAATGATGAAATCAATTAGGACAAATAACACTGATTCGGATTGAATTTCAATATCGCTATCACTTTGTTGCACACTTGGTGCCTTGGTGGCAAATGGAATATGGAATGGTTCGGATCTTCAGAGTCCCAGATCCTATGGTAGAGGCATGAGGGTGAAGAATAGTCAAGGCATTCTAGTGGTCATAGGATTACTTTTGGGCAGAGCTAACAGTTCTCAAAGAAGCTTTAATGTCCCTCAAATAAACCTTCTTTGTAGAGACCAAGATATTGTTCTTGAGGAAATTGAGTCCAACTCTAAAATTTTAGTGGAAATACTTGAAAGGAATTATCCAAGGCTGTGGAAAATAGAACTATTTGGCGTGAAGTTAAGTGTCGTTCTTGAGAATATGTAATATTCTATTTTGCATATTTTCAGTGAAGGAAATCATGTTGCATATAGATTGGCAGCCTATTTGGTTGAAAACTTAAGTTCATATTTTTCATAATCCGTCTAATTTTCCTCTAGATGTTAAATTTTCTCTGCCGGATGATTTTGGGAGTCTTCAACACACCAGGAAAAAAGTTCAAGCAATTTCTAGGAATAGTAGAGGTTTTAAGTAAATTTGGGGTTCTCGTAAAGCAACACTAGTTCTCCCAATCCGAAAGATGAAATAGGACATGATATATGTTTCTGGGATAGCTCGACGAGACAAGCTCAATCAATGTTACAGAAGGCGCTAGGCGGACTAAACGTTTGAGCTAGTGCCTAGCGTCTAGACCCCTAGGCATACGTCTAGACGGCGCCTAGGTGTTTGGTTATTTTTAAAATTATTTAATTATAACAATTGATAAAAATATGTATTAAATTCATATAAATTTGTAAAAAATAGCAATCTTAGTTCCACAACAAATCATGCATACTTAAATATTAAATAGCCAAAATAGTAACTAACAAGGCTAGAGCCTACAACGTTTTATTTTTTTATTTTTTAATTACAATAATTGATGGTGAATGTCAATGTCATAGAAAGCTTAGATGTAGGACTGGTGTCTAGACAGATTTCTTTCTTCATTTAAGTGGTGATCGATGAAGTTTTGCTAAATGTCGGAGGATGTAGTGAAGGTGTTCATATTTGGAGGTTAATAGGGTTTAAAGGAGGTTAGAGTACGTGTAGGCTGCAATACATAAAATCACAATCAAGACCTATAGGGTGCAGTCCACGTAAGCAGACAATAATCTCCTAAACACTTGTAAAATCTAGGTAGGCAGCCTAAATATCGCCTAGGCGCTAAAGTACTGCCTAGGCTTTAGCACCTAGGCCTAGGCGTACACCTAGGAGGACTAGACGGAGGCTTTTTAAAACAAGGGGTCAATTGGACCACATAAGCGGCATAGTTTAGATTTTTCAATTCCATTGGGAAGACAAAAAAAGAATGAAAGGAATTGTTCTTTGGATTGGATTTGTTCTGGGACATATTTTGGCAAGACAAATTGTTTTCTAGCAATGTAGAAGTCTAGAAGGATAGGATGGCACTTCTTTGAATGGGATTTCATCATCGTTATTATTTTATTGCACTATTTAGCAACAAATATGAAATATTTCTTCATCTTGGATTTGTTTTGGGTCATTTAACAAGAAAATTGTTTTTAGTGCCAAAACATAGGACAAAATAAATTAAGAGATTGTTTTTAGATCCCAAAGGCCAAAACTTGAGACATATTTAGCAAGAGAAATTATTTTTAGACCCAAAACATAGGACATAATTAGCTTTGAAGAAGTCTACATGGGCAATATCCAACTTCTTTGGATGGATTTCATTATAGATAATTCTTTATTGTTCACTTAGTAATAAATACGGAGTAATTCTCCATTATGTTTTAGAGGGTTGCATACTTTGCAATAGGCATGGAAGCGAATCAAATCGAATATCAAGGTGTTCACATTTGTATTTGTTTAATATTTTCGAGTTCGAATGCGAATTCGAACATCTATTTTACGTGTTTTCCGAATTCGAACTCGAATACTATGTATTTAATAAAATATTCATGAATATTAATTGAGTATTAAAGTATATTCATTTTACTAAAGAATTTGATTTTTTTAATTAGTACTTAAATTTATGATTGAAAATCATTCCTTTATAATTATGATGTACATAAATTAATTCGATTATTTCCTTAGAAAACTGGTTGATGAGGCTTTTAGGTCTTTCAAAATTATTATATGGAATTTAAGTAAAAAATATAAGTGGATTGAAAACATTATAATGTTTGTAATAGTATAATTAATAAGGGATTAAAATTTAAACAGATATTTAATAAGCAAATGAATCGAATAGACATATGGTTGAATTCTCTCAGTTTATGAACTCGAACACTAAAATTTATTTGTTTATTGTTAAATGAACTATAAAGTCGAATAGTATCGCAAACAATTAACGAACTATTTGTTAATTATTTGGTTCATCCCACCCCTGCCTAGCGACGAAAGACGTCTGTAAGGATAAGATCTCACTTTTTCCAGATTCATTTCAGCATCAATGTTACTTTATAGCATACTAGGAATATGGAATTATTCTTCGAATTAGACTTTTGTTTTTAGACGTAGAATGAGACAGATTTAGTAATAGAGAAGCCAACCAGTACATAATCCTACTTCTTTCGATAGGACTAGATTGGGTTTATTTTTGGGCTTCATCATTGCTATTACTTTATGGCATACTCGGTAATGTATGTAGAATTAGATTGGGTTTATTTTGGGACAAATTTAGCAAGACAAAATGTTTTTGGACTAAAACATGGGGCAGAACAAAGTAAGAGAAATTGTTTCTAGACTCAAAACATGGGGCAGATTTAGCAATGGAACCATAACCTGGATTAAACATCAGATCTAATACTACGTTTCCTTTTTTAGTTGTATAGGAGCAAACATTTTAAGATGAATCTAGTGTTAATTAATATTTACTTAACTTATTAAAATATTTATTGATGGAAATAATATCATGCAGTGGATGCCACTTGATGAACTTGTGGATCAACCATTTCATCGAGAAGATACAATGATGAAGAACGTAACCGATATTTGCATTGCAAGATATGAAGAACGTTATCAGGGGTTTACCGCTTGCCAAATGATGTCAAAGTTTGATAATAGATTGTCTTATCTTTACTTTGGAGATATTAAGAATTCAACCAACACCACAAAATAGTGATAAAAAAACAAGTTGGAGTCTCAGCAGAACTTCCGCAAATGTAACATAATTGCAAAATCTGGTGTAAGAAAATCTTAAAAGGTGAATGATGAAAAGTTGCATGTTTCTAGTACTGAGAACTGAATTTGCTAATTTTCAGGGAAACTTACTGCATGTGTGTGCATATATCTGGCGCCTGATATTTAAATCTTTAAGGATAACTGAGTTCGCAATTCTTTCAGGGAAAATTTCCCCACGAATACATGCCTTTCATGCTGCAATTATTTCATAATGTTTGCCGTCTTTTACTGGACTAAGCCAGGATCATGATCGGATAAGTAGTTAGTTATGAAACAACGTGTGAAAATTAGTACCCATAGTTTCAGTTTTTGTTTAAAGAAAAATGTTCAACGACTAGATATCAACAGGACCCTTTTCGATCGATTACCCAACTTATAAATTGCCTCAATTTATCAATTGCAAACTAAATTCCTCTCCTTCCCTGAGATGCAACTTCGTTCTTTTCAGGAAAAAAAAACAGGAAATGCTCATGAACAGTTATCTCGTGAGGGTACGCTGCAGCGCTCAGGCCTGTTATCCAATCCTGTGCTTTTTAGTGAGCTGGGTACAAATCGTCGTTTCGTTTCAGCCATAATAAAATTAAAGAGCTTACTGAGGAAAATGAATCCTTAAAGCTCCCTCACTCTGTACCCAACATGACCAATTATAACACAGATTTAAGAGCCACAATGCCGCCAAATCACATTTAAATGTGCAAATTTGCATCATTAATATTAAGTCGCAGATCATAGATCTAAGATTTAAAAAACAATAACAATAAATTATTGAGCACTTCAATTTTCAAACAGCATAGTTTATGATACAACATATTGAAGATTTTTCCTGAAATAAATAAATCAAAATATAACAAAAGAAAGCCATATATTGAAGATTAGTTTGGAACAGAATCACCTCAATACTATTAACTTAAGACAAAATAATTATCCCGAGTAGCACACAGGAATATATGCACTTAACTAAATTGTACTGTGTCTGGTCTCTTCTTGTTGCAGGGTAGCCAACCAAATTAGTGATTTGAACTCCTTATCCTCACAGACTTTTGAGGGGGCTTATAGTTCACTGTAGACAAAAAAAGAAATAATTTCAGGGCATGTAAATACATCACAAGCTCCTGAAACAAAAAGATTCATGGAACTAAGCTAGTTACCTTCATAAGCAGTTTTCGCCTTTTAGTCTTCTTCCATAGGAACTTCTGGGAAATTCCATCTGTCTTCTTCGATTTTTTTACAGATAACAGAGACTGGAGAAGGTACGCTTGTCAAGGAAAAGGAGCTATTCATTTTAGCGTTTTACAAATGACACGATTAAAACAATTGTGACCATAAAATTACTTGAACTCCATGATGGAGGCCAATATTCATAATGGAAGATCAAATGAAAGAAAATAAGTTCTCCAATTTTTCATTCATGATAAGAGAATATCAGACTGTCAGAAATAACATGACAAGCTCATCTTATAAATTGGAAATACCTTTTATGAGCATGACAATTCTGGCTTGAACATAACAATAGAATTTCTGATTTTATGCTTCATGTGTATTTCCTTAATTTTAACGATTGTCTAGAGCTCTGATACTTTGGTAGTAGATAATTTTCAACTTCATTGATAATATCTTTGTTATTGATGATACCAGACACCTAAGAAAAATTTACTTAATTAATGTTGAATCCTATCAATGACAATGAACCAACAGAATCACATGATATCGAGGTGACAATAAAACTTCGTGCACTAGTCATCTGATACCCCCCCCCCCACCAAAAAAAAAAACCTCACACACACAGAAGCACCATTTCCAAGACAGACACATAGGCTAAAAGTTTTTTTTTTTTGGTGGGGGGGAATGGGGGTCGCATCTGAATTGTTGCTAAAGTTTTTTTTTGTGCACCCGTAGCGGTTGCTGTGGAGGCAAAATAAAATAAGATTAAAAAAATGAAGGATATCTGCTTTGCATAGTAGCTAAATCAATGGAAAATACTAATTTCATAACTATAGGTATCTAGTTAACTTTGTTAAGGATATACATTGCCATAAGATCATCTTCCTTCTCCCCTCGGTTGCGGCTATTCTTCAGCTCCCTAAGGATTTCAGGTGTAACCTATGAAGAGAGAAAATCACAAATTATTGCTGTCTGTCGGTGTTTGAGACAATGTTTATATGAATGAGAATAAAATATACCAAATGATGCTTCTGATGATGAATCAAACGATCCAGGTTGTCCTTGTCCTCCTTAGTCAGTTCATTTTTGTACCTGTGAAAGATAAATCTTATAAATGTATTATATAGCATATTAAGCATTAGGGGTGAAATCACTGTTGTTCCATGATTTATGATGTTCATCGCATGGTCATCCTAAGTTAGAATGAAAATCTCCAGTGACTATGAGGTGCATCACCAAGTTGTTTAAAGCATAGTTTAAAGAAATATAGATATGAGCATCTTGAGTTAAGAGTTAAATGGCTATGGTTCTGCGATGAGCTTGAGTTGGGCTTCTTTTTATCCCAGTTCTTATATTCCTGTCTTGAGCACTCCTGATTCCTATCCTCTGTTGGGGTAATCAGCCCAGAAACTAAATGGAGTTTCTATGATACATGAAAATTTTAACTAATATACCTTTTGACTTGGTCACTTGAGGACCCTCAGTCATGTAGGTTCTGGTGTGTTGCAGATCAAGAATATTCAGTTTGTGTTACCAAGATGGCTCACCATTGATTTCCAAATGAATCATGGTTAACTTCTTATATTATACCCCATACTCATGGTATGTTATAACCTTTTAGCTGAGTAGTATACCCCATTTATATACAGTCAATTTAGGAGAGAATTGCATTCTCAGAAAGCAACATCTGAATTATAGATGCATATTTTTAAACCATACTAACAACTTTATAGTATGCCACGTATTAGTCAGAACATCTCAAAAAATAACATCACTGTAACTTAATGGGACACACGGTGTCTTCGCCTTCAATATGTATGTATATACATATGCATGCACAAGTGCTAGTTCTGGCATGCCATTGTTAGGTCTGCACATGGTCTCTCCTAGATTTTAACTGTGCACCTCGACATCCCTATAACTGCCCATTTACTACTACACCAAACTCCATTTGCTTAAAGTCTTATAAGATCACGTTAACCTGCTAGTTGCGAGATGAGTTGATGAAAGCATCATCAAACAGCTTTTTACATTACCAGGCCATTCCTCCTGATAGGGAAACAATTTGGCCACAATAGTGAAATTCGGAAAATTCTAAAACATAAGCATAGAAACTTAGGGACGAGGGAAAGGTTTAAGGAAGAGAACTACCACCAAAGTTTACACCTCTGGAATACTTGAAATGTTATGAAACTTTGGATATTCTGGGTAGTTAACATGTTCAGTGGATCATTAACAGAATTCAAAATGAAGTATCAGAAATACACACAATATATTGAACGTTTTAAAATCAAAAAACCATGGACAAAAATAGTAAAATACATGACATCATAGATTTAGAGAAGTTTACCTTTGCACAAAGGCAATAAGTGACTGATGCCATATTACAGGCATGACCCTTTCATCAGTAAGAAACCTCATGAAATGTGCAACAACAGCATCAAGCACCCTGTACGGTAGTGCATATTTCTTGTCTAGAAATAGCTTGATGAAATAACTGCAATAAATTAGATATTATCAAATGTCACCTAATATAGAGAAGTCCGATACCAGTTTTTGAATAACTGATACACATTATGTAATCAAGTTTCTACATTAATCCTGTATTTAAAGAATATTAACAATGGTCAAAGTATTTTAGGATTCTGTACAGAAATAGAACAATCAAATTAAGGAAAGTTAAAAAAAATCTCAAATGAGTTGTAAATTTGAATATGAAAAATCAGCATGCTTAACCATGAACAACAGCGTTCAGCATTTTGTCCTATTAAGCCAAACGAGAGATCATCAACAATTCACCCATTTTAGTAGTGCTGGAGAAAAAACATCCACATCCAGAAACATTCACTGTCCATTAACTAATAAACATAGACAACAGTCATGAGAACTCCACTTCCAAAGAGTGTAATGGGGGACTGTCCCAATTGAGTGTTTAACTGGCAATAACAAGTCCACCATTATCAAATATTGAAAGTATAAACATGAAAGCTTCATACTCGTTCAGCATCTTGGTTTTATCATTTATGTAAAACAGCTTCCCAATATAATGTCCAATTTTAAAGCATTTTTATTTATAAATAATATTAGTGAACACTAAAATTTCTTGGCAATTCTGTATATCATTATGTTATTGTGGAGGTTCGTGCTTAAAGTTCAAAGAAATAAGATAAGATGTCAAATTTCAAAAGCAAACTTCTACTTATATTATTTATATATAATACCCAAGGTTTTAAATATCGAATATCGGGAAAATGTCAGATGGCCAAAGTTCGTATCGGATTGTAGATATCGGGTAAATATTGGGGATATTGGTAAATATCGGAATGCCACAATAGATGTTTCCATATATAGTATAATGCACTAAAACATAATCTCAACATACTTAATGAAATCCAAGCATACAAAATGTAAATTATGTGTTTAGGTCAGCAATCAACCTTGTAAAACAATCAAAGCACAAATCAATGTTGCCACACTTAGTTTGATTTTTTAGGCCAAAATATCATTTGATAATATGGGAAAATAATGACATCTCGCCTCAAAAATTGCCAAATACGATATATTTGTTTTGCAACAAGCCATATAAATGGATATATCGGCCTAGATATCGGTGATATATCTCCATATTGGGAATATATCGCCCAAAATAGCCAAAAAGCGGTAAAGGATATGTAGAGACCATATCGGTTGCGGCACACCCTGTAAACGAATATATCGGGTGATATTTTGGGCCATCTCTGGTATATTTAAAAAAAATACCAATGATAGTTGAGATTTTTTGGTGGTTCTTGTTTGCAATTATGTTATTGCGGAGGCTTGTACCTAAAATCCAAAGATAATTTTTAACAAAAAAAGAAAACATATGATATCACTTAAGGGAGTAATCACCATTGACAGAAATGTCACAGAATAAAACTCTTATGTATATTTCTTCCCTAATATCATAGAAATTATGTCTGATATTTCAAAATATCATCTAGGAAAATTAAGATTTTGAGAATTCTCACTATAAGACAATTGATGTTAAACATAAAATATCGATGAAGCTCCAACGCAAGGGTTCAACTTTAACTAAAGGAAACTTTTTAAATCATGAACTACAAATATAAATCAAATTACCTAGTTGTGCCACAATAATCCATTTCCGCTAGCTTCATTAAGGCTGCACTGTATGACCATATAGTATAAATTATAAAAAAGCATCAACAAATCAACTCAAAATGCAACTATACAAGTACGTTCTAAACCCAAAAAATATCAAGGAATCCACGCCTATGAGCAACAGTACATTACCTTGAGTGAAGAGGAGGAATGGAAACTTTCTGAATGATGCTTCCTACTATGACTGCTTCCCGAAGATTGCAAGTTCCTGACTGTAGAAGATTCTATATTTAGAGAGAACAATAGTTGGCAAAGAAAATAACTCCAACCGCTAAATTCAATGGTGATGCCTTCAAGTCGGACAGTGAGCTTTTGGAGAGTACAATGAAATGATAAAATTTGGGTATTAACTAACAGAAAATTACCAGAAAAATATTCACGATTGAAGAACTAAATAAATAACAACTTCCATGCGTTTCTTGATTTTGAACTTGTGAGAAGTTTGCAATGTCTCTTAATAGGTCACAAGATTATTAATGGCTGCTAAAAATTATTATGATTTGAATTTTTACAGCAAGAAATATGTGTTGCAATCAATACAACTGTTTCATGCTCCCTAAGTTTATTAATGGTTGTTAATAATCATTATGATTTATTTAGCATAGTATGGGAAGATATTTCAAGATTGTTTCTCGTAAACTATTAAATATTACCTCTCTTGTGCATGTGTACATACTCAACTCCAGCCTCATATGTTGTGGATCACATGACACTCAACCTTGTCTCATATAGTATACACCAACACGAGAAATAATTTAGGGATACAAATGCACATGGTTCCAACAAACACATGGAGAGTAACATCAGAATTGAACACATATCAACTGATGATGAGTTCAATAATATTGCATACCTGACATAGGGGGAACAGGATTCCCTTGAAAAAGGCAGCTGGCTTATAGAGGGACTTTTTCATAGACTGATAGAGAGCAAAATGAAGTCTTTTGTTCTTTCTTATGTCCTCTCGAATCCGTGGTAGTAGAACAAGATTGTAAAAACGTTGGGCCCCTTTAACGCCTAAATTTGAAGAGAATATTCTTGTTGCTTGGTACATAGCATTTGGGGACCAATTCTCTGGCTCAGTCAAATATAGCACATCTTCCCATACTTGTAGGTGCGGGATGTGTTTAAATGCCTTGGGGATTTTCCCATTAGTGTACCTACTGAGCAGTTTGCCGACCCTGTAATATGAAGCTAGCATATTCATACATAATCATATGATAAAATAGTTGGTATCACAACAAATAGATCGTTCACATACCCCTTATAAAGGTCTATGACACTGCTATCCAATTTGGGGAGAGGCCGTGCTTCTGTGGCCGCATAGAAGGAACAGATATATAAACCAATTAATAACTACAGAAGTAGGGTATTTTCTGTAATTCCCGCAATATAATCTTCCCTAAAAGATAGAAACTTTGATATATGTTCAAAAGAAACTGACCAGAGGCAACCTCAGCATCCTTCTCCTTGATTTTCTGAATAATAACATCCGCTAGTGTCATCTGAGGACCAGCATTTTCCGACATGAAAGTCGCCAGCAACTTCTCATCCTCCTCATCAATCTCTTGCTAAAAATAATCGACAAAAAAAATAATCAACGCCTCATTTTCACCCAACTAAATTAAGCTAAAAGATCAAATATTTTACCAAGCCCCCATCGTAAAGACTCTGAGTCTCTGAAAACCCATCGAAACCATCAACATCCTCCTCTTCCTCATCGACAACCGAAGGATTCTCAGTAATAGAAGAGAACGGCGTCGGATTTTGCTCCTCAGCTTCCTGCTCAATCTCTCTTTGTTGACTCAGGGCTTCTTTCAGAATCTTGGAGCTCAGGTTCGACGAAATCAGCTGGAAAATAAAAAAAAGTAAAACTTTAACTAACAATTTAGATCAAAAGGATGATGAAATTAAACCTTAGGGCTTCGATTTACCTTCTCGCCTCCTTGGTGGAGCTTTGGACCGCGAGAGCGCTTTTTGGAGACGGATTCATCGTCGGCGGCGGCGTCGAGGGATTTGCGATGCTGAAGCTGGGGATTCTTTTGCTGTTTTCTCTGCTCATCTTTTCTTTTGTTGCCCGCCATTACTGAGATTGGACCGAGCAAAACCCTAACCCCAAAACCCTGAATCGAATCGAGCGAAGAGAGAACTCGGAAACATATAACCGTATGGTATTTATATGATCGGGTAAACTTATTATGAATCCGAATCCAATTGGCAATAAACGGGTTAGGGTTTCCATTATGAATCCGACCGTAAAATGAAGGCCGTCATGGGCCTCTACATGGCCCATATCGTATGGACTGGGTCGATTGGCAATCTAAATTTAGATGGGCTAATAAATTTAGTCTCGGTTGACCTAATAACGAGACAGTTAAATTCAACCTAGTTTTCCCAAATATAATGAGAGTTGAGGGTTTATAATGTTATTTTAATACAATCAATGTTGATATCTTTTTATCTGTCAACATCATTTTAATCATCTTCCAAACATTGGAGGAGCACTTGATGTACATGCTAACAGGAGCAAGCTTATAAGTTTTGGATATTCTTTCCCATGATTTCTTATGTCATCATTCACAAAAAAAAACATGTAATGACCAATTTAATGCTTTTTCATATAAGAGATTTAATAGTTAAAATGACCAGTCTGATACCTCTTGTCATCCTATAGGAGATCTTAGAAGGTGGGGGAAATCAAAAGGTACCATCCATGATGGAGATACTCATAGGATTTATTAAATTTCACAGCATCTTATTAATGGAACCTGTAGCTCATGACATCATGCAATATATGCATTAAAGGCTCAAGGCCGAAGCCCATGAGGCCCTCGGTGAGACTTCTGCCCACAGCAGGGGCCCAGGAGGTACGTATCACGCACAAAAGAAGAACATCTTCGTAAAGATTATCGTAATGAACAAATTTTCAAAACAGCCCCAAAACGATTTTTATTTTTCAAAATCGACCCGATTTTCTTTTATTTATCAAAATCGACCAATTTTTTGTCACGTGGGCTTAATAAAGTTCCTAAACAGTCGGGGTTGGCAACCCCGACTGTTTACGAGGGTGTTAAACCCCAATTAGAACCATCAAATCCGAAAATTTCATGTCCTAAACAGTTAACAACCCTGACTGTTTAGGAACGTCATTAAGCCCACATGGCAAAAAGTTGATAAATAAAAAATAACGGGTTGATTTTGAAAAATAAAAAACTTTTTGGGGCTGTTTTGAAAAAATCCTCAATCTATAAATTTAATGATAGTCAATGTACAATAATAGATGATACGTTAGTGGGCTTCTAATATAAGAGAGTGCTGATACGTGGGTAGTTTATTGATGGGGACCATATGTTAAGCGTATGGTAAACATGATTTCTTTTTGAACGACGGACCGACTTCGTACCGCTGAGCGCTTAGTTTAAGAATGTTTCACATGTTGCTGCACATGCTTTCATTTTAGGAAGATGATTTTTATTTTTAATTTTTTTTTAAAAAAAAAAGGGTGTAGCATTGGTAGTCTCAAACTGTATCCTAGCTTCAGAAACTAGGTGCGGTAAGAAAGGATTTCAAGATGAAAGTAGAGCAACAAAGGTTTACAGCGTACCGGGCGCACCTAAGTAATAAGGATTAAAATGTTCAAGGGGGTCATATGCAACACCCTTCAAAATTGAGGTATTTTTGAAACTAACCCTTTCTAAGACCATCTCCAACCAGGCATTATTTCGCCGCATAAAGTGTTTTTGCCGCTAAAACCGAGCTCCAACCAGATGCTAAATGTCGCTGCATTTTAGCGGTGATGAACAGCGCGACGCCATATTTGGCGTCGCACTGTTCATCACCCCATTACTGTTTGTTTTTATTTTTTTATTTTTCATTTTTTTAATTTTACCTCATACTTATATGTTTTTACAATTTAACCCTAATTGTTTTATTAAATGTATAAAACAACTCCAATAATATTTAAATTTTATAATTTTATCTCAATTGTATAATTTGGACAAAATAAATTATTTTTTAAAAATAAAAAATGCTAAAATTTAAAAGATATTATTATTAATTATAATATTAAAATCTAGACATTATAAGTAAAGTCCCATGAAATATAAAGAGCAATCCTAATACATAATTCAAATATAAATTACATATCTGAAATACATAACATATAAAAACTAACACACATAATATAAAACATCATTAAAATAAAACATAAAATACATACTAAACATGGAACATTACATAAGATGGACAAACAACTCTCAATAATCTGGTAGATCGGGGCCAGAGTGTCCAATATCATTGAAATAATTGCCAAAGTTAGAAGCAGACCCTTGTTCTTGTTGATTTCTTTTTTGTATTATTTTCATCTGTTGAGCTCGAACGTACTCACGGACGTTTGGATCAGCAATGGAATTCAAATCTTTCATTATAATCTTCCATTCATCTCGATCTTTTTTCATGGCTATCTTTTCTCGTTCGATATCAAATGCTACTTGCCTGTCCAAGCTCGCCTTGTCTAACCTGTCTATAAGTCGGTTATTGGAGGTCTCGATGGAGTCCGCTACACTTGACTCATGATCATCATTTTTTCTTTTCAATTTGGCTTTTTTTACCCCAATAGGTCGTTCAGATGGAGTAAATGACGACAGTCCAGGAGATGTTGATATAGGAGATTCCGGAGTGGGGTTATCTGATTGTGACGAGTCGAAGTTCACACTTTGGGGTTGTCTTCGACCAACTTGTCTTGCTGTGGGGACATCATCTTTGAATTTTTCAAAATTTTTAACCATATTCCAGACATGATCAAATTTGAAACCTTTTTTGTACTTTGGTTCTTGCATAAATAACATCTTTGCTCGAACTAACTGCAAATTATAGTGAACATCAAGTTATGTATTTCAACAATAATAATAAAATTCAGACGATAATTAATAGAATACTTACAATATCTTCATCTGAAGCACCACTTGGATTCAGATTCTCTACTTGTCTCAAGCACGCATTCAATTTCCTTACTTCATTACTTATGATTTCCATTCGAGAACGTCGGCTCACACGCATCTCAAAATGCTGATCTCGAAGTTCATTGTATTTGTCCTCCACACGAGACCAAAATGCATCTCGAGACTGGTTTCTACCGATAATAGGGTCTTGAAAAATATCCAAGAATACTTGACAAAGGAGCACATCTTCAGTAACCGTGTATCCAGTTGATCGAACAGACATTTTTTTTATAAAAAGCGGTAGGTTTGGAGATCAGAAATACTTTGAAGAAATACTTCGAATTGGGTGGTTTGAAGTAGAATTCGTGAATGTTATTTATAGCCAATCCAAATTTGTTTTTTATGTTTGAATTTGAATTTGAATTTGTCGGTGGTCAACATTTGAAATAATATCATTTTGTACAAACTGATCAGCTTTACACATTATCCAACGTTGTCGGTGGGAATTAAATTTTGAAATCAGGTCAGCTTTACACATTATCCAACGTTGTCGGTGGGAATCAAAATTTGAAATCAGGTCAGCTTTACACATTATCCAACGTTGTCGGTGGGAATCAAATTTTGATATCAGGTCAGCTTTACACATTATCCAACGTTGTCGGTGGGAATCAAAATTTGAAATCGGGTCAGCTTTACACATTATCCAACGTTGTCGGTGGGAATCAAAATTTAAAATCAGGTCAGCTTTACACATTATCCAACGTTGTCGGTGGGAATCAAATTTTGAAATCAGATCAGCTTTACACATTATCCAACGTTGTCGGTGGGAATCAAAATTTGAAATCAGGTCAGCTTTACACATTATCCAACGTTGTCGGTGGGAATCAAAATTTGAAATCAGGTCAGCTTTACACATTATCCAACGTTGTCGGTGGGAATCAAAATTTGAAATCAGGTCAGCTTTACACATTATCCAACGTTGTCGGTGGGAATCAAAATTTGAAATCAGGTCAGCTTTACACATTATCCAACGTTGTCGGTGGGAATCAAAATTTGAAATCAGGTCAGCTTTACACATTATCCAACGTTGTCGGTGGGAATCAAAATTTGAAATCAGGTCAGCTTTACACATTATCCAACGTTGTCGGTGGGAATCAAAATTTGAAATCAGGTCAGCTTTACACATTATCCAACGTTGTCGGTGGGAATCAAAATTTGAAATCAGGTCAGCTTTACACATTATCCAACGTTGTCGGTGGGAATCAAAATTTGAAATCAGGTCAGCTTTACACATTAAAAATGAATTTCGATGTTGGAGGTCCATCATACTTATCATCATCTTCATCTTCGGATGATGATAATTTTTTGTCCAATATCATTACAGAGATTGATGAAACCGAAGAAGTAATTTGTGAGTACATCAACAACAACATGATCATCGTTAACAATTTACGTCAACAAAACTACCAACCGATCCATGGTGGCTCGATTCCCGGTCATGCAGTGATCAACCGCGATCGAGAAAATGCGCATCAGAATTTGGTCATAGATTACTTTGCCGATAATCCACATTTTGGAGAAGATATGTTTCGTCGTCGATATCGGATGTCAAGAAGTTTGTTCCTTCGTATTGTTGATGCAGTGAAAGATCATGACTATTACTTCCAACAACGAAGTGATGGACTTGGTAGAATGGGATTATCACCGTTACAGAAAGTAACAGCTGTTTTTCGCATGTTGGCATACGGTCTACCAGCTGATGCTACGGACGAATACGTTAAAATAGGTGAGTCAACAGCAATTGAAAGTATGACAAAATTTTGTCGTGCTATGGTGGAAATATTCGCAGAGCGGTATCTACGAACACCTAACGCTAACGATATTGCTAGGCTACTCTATATTAGTAAAAAACATGGTTTTCCAGGAATGTTAGGAAGTCTTGATTGTATGCATTGGAAATGGAAAAATTGTCCAACAGCATGGTCTGGGCAATACACAGGACGTAGTGGGTCACCAACTATTATCCTCGAAGCTGTGGCAGATTATGATCTTTGGATATGGCACGCATATTTTGGTATGCCAGGCACCAATAATGATATCAATGTGCTGGAGTCATCTAATCTTTTCTCTAACCTAGCTCAAGGTATTGCTCCTCCCGCTCACTATGTTATTCAAGGAAAAGAGTATAATATGGGTTATTATTTAGCTGATGGTATATATCCGAAATGGGCTACTATTGTACAAACAATCCAACAGCCACAAGGTAGGAAGAAAAAATATTTTGCCATGAAACAGGAAGCATGTAGAAAAGATGTAGAACGTGCGTTCGGAGTTCTCCAATCACGATTTGCAATCGTGGCAGGATCAGCACGTTTTTGGAAAAAACATGTATTACATGACATAATGACTGCATGCATTATTATGCACAATATGATAATCGAGGATGAACGTGATCTTTATGCACCAATTCAAGAAGTGAGGGAAGCACCAACACCAGAAGTTGATATGGTAGCAGATGAAACTACAAGATTTACTCAATTTATTACACGTTACGGAAAAATCAAGGATAAAGATGCCCATATTGCGCTTCGTAATGCATTGATAGATCATCTATGGGAGGAATACACTAATTCAGATAGTTAAGTGCATACTAAATTTGTAATTTTTACATTGTTGTTAATGTTTAATTATTTCCTTGTATTTTATTTCATGTTGTGTTCTTGAATGTAATATTTTGGCAATATCAATAATAAAAATATAATATTTTAGCAATCAAGTTATTTTAATTAATAAAATAATATTTTATTGTTTTATTAGTTTAATTTTTAAATAATAAATCATTTTGTTTGGAAAATATGTGAAAAAATAAAATTTGATATGTGGGGTTAATTGTTGAAATAGTTAAAAATATAGGGAATAAAAAATAATCATATAAAAGTAGATAAAAAGAAAGATACTGAGAATATTCCTTTTTGGTGTAAAAAATGGTGCAATTGGTTGGAGATGAATTACTGTTAGATGTGACTTTTGCACCATTTTTAGGCAAAGGGTTGGAGATGCCCTAAGTCTTGAGACTGAATTGTTAAACGTTTATGAACAATGCGTCTAACACACTAATAAGCAGATGATAATACTAATTACTAGTTACTACATACCATTTCATATTGAGTAGTGATAAAGGTACGTAGTTACATTACTCTGTAAGTTGAAGAAAAAAATTTGAAGTTTCACAATGGGCGCTTGCATCATAAGAAAAATTTCTCAATGACCCAAATTATGGGACCAATAGAGGGGACAAGTGAGGTGTCTCATTCTTATTGAATAATAAGTTGGCCATCATTAATGATGACCAACTCATTATCCAATAGGAGGGGGACACCTTACTTGTTCCCCCTACTGGTCTCATATTTTGGATCTCTGTAGCGAAGCTCGCATCATAATTCATAAGTAGAAATAATGAGTATGTGTAGACGGTCAAAATATGTTCAAGCTTAGTCCAACTCCAAAAAGTAAGCGCTTATAAGCTAAACACTTCGTATGGGCCCAAACGTAAGTCCATATCAAAGCCCACCCAATTAACAATAGCGAAGTTCGCCTAAGCTTCACGCGAACTTCGCCCTAAGATCTATGTGGATCATGTCATCCACGTCTCAAAGAACATGGTTGTCCACGTTCTAGTAAAGTTCCCTGAGACGAACTTTGCCCAAAGCCATTTAGCGAGCCTGCCCAGAATTGCCTAGCGAGCTTCGCCTTTGACCGTCGGAGGCGAATCTCATCATTGTTCGTTTTAAGAGCTACTTTTAAGAAAACGGTTCTTTTCATTATCTCCTAAGTAAATTGCCCAATTAATCCACATTTAATGACCACTAACTCTCTCTTAGCTTATAAGAGGAGGGGAGATTACTCATTTAAGGAGACTTGACACGTTTGAGAAAACTTAGATTTGGCGTGGATTGATACCAATACTCAACATCTCCAACTAGCTAACTTGGTTGAATTTTTGCTTTTTTGACAAATTTCCAATCAGCAATAGACTCATCGTTTTTGTTAGACCATCAACAGAATACAAGACTGAAGATCAATCAGCACACACAAAAGACCCCAGACTCTATAAATTTTCTTGTTTCATTATAATTTCTTTTGAATTGTAATCTGAGTTAATTGTAATTCAAAAAACCAAAAACAGCATGACGACTTCGTTGAGAAATACTTTCTCAACTGACAAGAATATAGTGTCATATTCCGACACTATGGCCTTCGGGTCTTTTGCAGAATCGCTGGTCATTGAATTTGACCAAACGAAATTTGAAGAATTTATTTCCTCTGCTAAGTCATCGACGACTACTACTAGGAGCTGTAGTAAAATTCACCGCAGTGTGAGAGTGGGGTCAAATTTGACCCTCACACATGTCAAGGCATATTTCACTAAAGACAATCTAAGTTTCGTTGGAAGCCAAACAAGCTTCGCCAGAGCGAAGAAGTATTGACCCTCGCCTAACCAAGGTCCAAGATATTCATACATCTCTTGATCGTGAACATTAGCCCACAATCCCCTTGAGGATTCGCTTTAAAGCATATCATGGTGCTCACCATGCTTCTTTAATGGGACCAAAGAATAGGGGTAATCCCCCATTTAGGAACAATGTTACCAATGGTGTTCTTTCACCCAAATCACAAGCTCTGACTTGTGATGAAGATTTGATTGATAATACTAGTTGAAGGTCAAAGCAACATTGGTATAGGTGATGTTCCCATGCTATAATTTGAAGAGGCAAAGTTGTCTATAAGGGGAGCAATTGCCCATGCTAAGTTGAAACTCCTACTAATTTAAGAGAGTTTCTTTTGCTAAAGAGGGCACACAAATGTCAACGTTGTGCGACCTTAAGAGAAATTGTCATTGTAGTTTAAACTTATTTCCAATACAAGTTTATTCCCGAAAGGGAATCAATTATTAATCATCTCAGTCAATCTCATGAGCCTTCAAAGGCTAGGATAAAAAGACAATAACACACCCAAAAGAGTAAAAGAATCTTTCAAGAGTTCATAATCAATATGACTGGTGTGATCTTTAGAGACGAAGAAAAAAAGTCAATACTCTTTCCAATCCTAGATATTCTCCTGACATTAAAAGTACACTTCTAGAAATAGATGGTGTGCATCTTCACACCAGGTCGAGGCAAGGGATGACGATTCCCTTTGATTACTCCCTCCTCCGGATGCATACTTCCCGAGCTTCATCACAAATTGACCAACCCACCAATGATGCCAATTTTATTATAGTGTCAAATGTAACTCCTAGTTCAAGTCAAAAGCAGGCATATGTGATATGTATGGCAGATAAAGCAGCTCACGATGACCTTCTTCGAAAAATGGAAGACCAAAAGAAGCATTTGACACTCGCTTTGGGCACCTTGAAATGATGCTTTAGTAACTCATGGTTTCCTCCTAACAATAGAATGCAAGCTCCTTAAAGGAGAAATGATCAACTGTTGAAACTCCTTTTGAGAAAGAATAGTTGCATCAAGAAGATGCTAATTATGTTCGCTCACGATCGGAGTCATCAGCTCTGCCAAAAGAGAGCCATGAGGCGAAGGTCCTTGAGGATCTCTAAAAACATCTTAACGCTCTTACACAGTAGACAGAGTTGAAGAAGGTTAGGATTAACCGACCTTATCCTATTAAGTGTGACTATGTTCCCTACTCAATAAAGTTTAAGCCATCGACATATGTTTGATGGCAAAGGTTTCTCGAACCAACACATCTATTCCATCAGCAAATGAGAAAGGTAGTGGGAATGAAGCTATTAATGCACGACTCTTCATTGGTACCCTTCAGGGTATAGCCTTTCATTAGCTTTAGAATTTGGCTGAATGATCAATCGAGTCCTGGACTAATTTAGAGTCTTAGTTCCTCTCCCAATTTCATGAGGAATAATCAAATGTAATAATGACCAAACTCCTTTCAAAAAAAGAAAGGGGTGATGATTCGGTCAGAGATTACATTGAGTAGTTTTACAATTTGAGCTAATGTTATTGGGATATGTCGCTCCGAATGATGCTTCAAACATGTCTGTACAATTCTTTGATCCATAGAAGCTCATATGGGTGCTATAAAAGCAAACTCACTGAAACACTTAATGGAACAGGTGGAGATAGTAGAATAAGTCCGCTAAATGTTTCAACAAGTTTGATCCCCACACTAACAATAAATGAGGTAAGAACAAACAAGGACAATTATCCTAGTCGAAAGCCAAAGAGTTTTGCAGTCGAGGTCAAAAAGCCTAACAATCAAAAGAAAGAGCCTTGGAAGAGCAATCAACGAAGCTACTCCTTTAAAAATGAACACATTGTTATCATCTTTCATATCCTCATAAGGGCAACCAATTGAAGCTCCTTGAAGCCTGCCACCCTTAAGAGGTTAGAAAGAGCGATGATCCTAACTATTGCCTCTACCACATAATATTAGGACATCCAATAAAGAACTGTTATATCCTTAAGGATAAAATACAGATATTTATCGACTCAGCAACTCTCAAACTTTGACATGAGCAAAAGAAGGTCATTGTTAACATGATGACTCTTCAATTCAGGTCCATGCAGACAACTCGAGCTCAAAATGGGGTCGCTCCAATTTCTATTGCAAGAATAGAAGTGATTAATCAGGACCAATAAGGTCGACAGAGTTAAGGCTTTGTCACTCTCACTACGCCAAATAGAGAGATAATGTGGGTCTACCCTAACTTCCTCTAAGACGAGCATTGGGCGTCTCCAAAATCAACGGCCCATGCAAAAGCTAAATACAAGATAATATCTTGCAACACCTTCTTCGTAATCACAGGTGAGGAATTACTACAAGTTTCTTCACTCACAGATTTAGAAGAAGATAAGATTGCTAGGATGGTTCAACTCAACCAAAGTCCGCTTACAGGGACAAGATTTGAAAAATGTTACTTGAGGAATTATGATTGGTCGAGACCCTCCAAATAGCATGAACCTGTCAAAAAGAAAGATACATGGCTTGATAAGACATTACAGTAACCGTCCTCTAGTTCCAAAGTTCCATTCTGGTATAATATATTAGCTTAGTTAGCTAATATCCTAGCTCGTATAACCTTATATGAACTTCTATGTTTATCTAAGGACAAGACAAAAGCTTTAAGAGAGGCATTAAATGATAGTGAAGCATTTCTCGGCCACATACCAGATCTTATCTAAGGAGAGGAGCAAAGACAATGCTACTAATTTCAACAACAAAAGCTTTGTATCACGTTCACCGTGGATGATATGTTCATCAAAGATCATCATCATAACTGACCCCTATACTACACTGACTATGTCAATTTTATGAAGATCGAGTGGATTCACATTGATCCAGGGTCCGCCTCGAGTATCATTTTGCGAAGACTCATTAGCCTCCTAGGCATTCCTCTTTACAAACTCTCAAAGATAACTACTACTATCTTTGGATTCAACACCAGAGTAGCCAATCGCTTGGACATTGAGAAGCGATGGAGACTTAGACATTGAGAATAATATGAAAAAAAGACAAAGATGAAGATGATAAAGTCGGAAGGGGGAATTGTGCTATTTATAATCTTTTTTGAATCCAAATTTCGAGAAAATTATATCTTTTGAGATTTGATT